GAGCAAGAGTAGATAAAAGAGAGAGAGAGAGAGAAAAAGAGAAATAGAGCATAAAGAGAGAAAGGATGTGAGCGAGAGTAGATAAAAAGAGAGAGAGAGAGAGAAAAAGAAAGATAAATAGAGAGAAAGAGAGAGAGAGTGGATAAAGAGAGAAAAAGGGAAGGAGAGAAAGGATGAGAGTAAGAGTAGATAAAAAGAGAGATAAAGATAGAGAGAGAGAGAGAACGACCGCTCAGCTGGCATCGCTACGGAAACCGCATCTATCTGCCGTCTCCAAAGTGCCATTCATCGTCTCCGTGGTGACAGATTTACACACTGTTTCTGCCGTTAACCTGACACAGCTATCTGTTACACACACACCACACACACACACACACTACACACCACACACACACACACGTACACACACACACACACACACACACCACCGTCCCACACACCACACGTACACACACCACACACACACACACCACACACACACACACACACACACACACCACACACGACACCCGTACACTACCACACACACACACACCACCCACCGTGTGTCCATTTGTGCCTGGCTTGTTTATTAAAAGTTGCTTACAGCACTTTATTCAGAACACCTGCCTCACACACTGCGCACAGACAGACGAGGTGCAGGTAAAGAATGAGCTTCACACACTTCACACTCACTGAGCTCTGAGCTGCTCACAACTCTTTTAACAGGCCTGTAAATCTCAGCATGTTCTCAAACACGATTCCATGCGATTTGATTCTTCAGAATTATTTTTAATTGTAACAGTGCCGACGGCATTTTGTGACAACTGCACTTCTAACACGACACACCACTCCACAATAACTATATTACTCTGCTGTTATTCACTGTTTTTATGCTAAAGCTAACCATTATTAAGTTTCTACTTCAGCACATACCGCCATATGCAAATGCAAATTTTAGTGCACAACTTCTATTTCATTGATGAACATATTGGAAAAAACAGAAAATAGAAAATGTGCCATAACTTTGGCCACATTTTAAAAAATGTTATGCCCCCCCCCCCAATATGTTAAACTCATCACATATACAGTAGTTGTGTATTAAAATGTGCAGAAGTGTGATCACTGTAGAGAAACTTGTTTTCACTTAGAAAATAAAAAAAAACAAAATATTAGTGTTTAATTACTGTTCATTTGCTGAACATAAAACATAAAAATGAAAACATAAAATGTGTCCTGTGCAAAAATTATGGTGCATTTTATACTTTTTATACATACACACACACACACACACATATATATATATATATATATATATATAGTAACAAAACTCTCCATTTTTGTTGTTTTTCAGTTTTTGACGATTTGAGCCTGTTTCTCTTTATATTGTGTGTAAATTTCATGATGAATGGACCAAAAGAAACGATCCAAAATGACTTGGAAAACATTCTGGTTCCATTGACTTACATTAAAAGGATTATCTTCTCTTATCTTATCGAGTCAAAACCAGCAGAAGAATACTGGATGTGATGTGTGAGTGAAAAAAGAATGAATGTAATTCAATATTGTAACAAATCTGCCCTGAAATTGCTTTTAGAGTGTTTAGATGATCATCTTAATGAAGCACTTCAATTAAAAACAGCTAATATTAGAGCTTAGTAGTTATTAAAGAAAACTACTGAATCGGTATCAGTATCGGTTCATACAAAAGGTGCCAATATCGGTACTGACATCAGAAAAAACAAAGATGTCACGCCGTTCACAGTACAAACACACACTGCTTACGATTCAGTTCAATCATGATTCTTTAGGACATGATTCAATGAATCACTAAAGGGCCCGTATCATGGAAAACCTAATTCTTCCTCACTTTCTTGGAATAAAAGTGTTGTTTAAGTTTCAAAATATACCGTTTATCCTCAGTCCATTCAGCCCAAATATGAAATACGCTGCAAAAACAGCCTCGATGTTTTTGTGATGTCATGAAAAACCAACTAATTTACATATATCTGCCTATTCAGCCTATAGCAGTTTAGCCCCGCCCATTCACACTGTAGAGTTTCAGCCTGGACTGCTTTTCAAATGAGGCGCAATACAGGACATCCAATCATTTACATCATTTACATAATAAAAACTTTAATAAAAAATTTTGAAGGATGAAAAATAGGAAAGTGAAAATTAATTAAGAAAGTTTTAATATATAAAAAATCACAAAACTGATTTATGCAGTCGAATACAAACAACAGAAACAATACCCCAAGCTTCTTTTGCTTTAATGTTTACCTATTAAAATAGCTTAGAGAAAGTTATTTTGGCCTACATTTGGTATATTTTACTGAATATTAAAGCTGCTAATAATTAATCCTGCATTTGTACAACCACAGTGCCGCTGAAGGGGAGGGGACAGGCTGCAGGGTTAGAGCAGAGCAGTGTTTCTGCAGCTCTCAGCAGGAACTCCGCTCTCAGACGGAGGAAAAGAACGTACCTGTTCCTCAGCGCATACTGATCCAGCCTGCTGCCTCAGCTAAGCTCAGCCAGCCTGACAGCGCGAACGCATGAGGAGGGAACACCGAATTACCCGAGGAAGATTAACAAACCAGCACAACTAAAAATGCATGCAGTCCCTCCAGGATAACACTGACCAATTTAACAAAGTTTCCTCTCTCTCTCGGTGAGCGGACAGCCAGAGAGAAAGAAAACTACACTGAGAATAAGTGTGAATACTGTATACCACTACACTGAGAATAAGTGTGCATACTGTATACCACTACACTGAGAATACGTGTGCACACTGTAAACCACTACACTGAGAATAAGAGTGCACACTGTAAACCACTACACTGAGAATAAGAGTGGATACTGTAAACCACTACACTGAGAATAAGTGTGCATACTGTATACCACTACACTGAGAATAAGTGTGGATACTGTAAACCACTACACTGAGAATAAGTGTGCATACTGTATAGCACTATACTAAGAATAAGTGTGCATACTGTAAACCACCACACTGAGAATAAGTGTGGATACTGTAAACCACTACACTGAGAATAAGTGTGCATACTGTATAGCACTATACTAAGAATAAGTGTGCATACTGTAAACCACTACACTGAGAATAAGAGTGCATACTGTATAGCACTATACTAAGAATAAGTGTGCATACTGTAAACCACTACACTGAGAATAAGTGTGGATACTGTATACCACTACACTGAGAATAAGTGTGCACACTGTAAACCACTACACTGAGAATAAGTGTGCATACTGTATACCACTACACTGAGAATAAGTGTGGATACTGTAAACCACTACACTGAGAATAAGTGTGGATACTGTAAACCACTACACTGAGAATAAGTGTGCATACTGTATAGCACTATACTAAGAATAAGTGTGCATACTGTAAACCACTACACTGAGAATAAGAGTGCATACTGTATACCACTACACTGAGAATAAGTGTGCATACTGTATACCACTACACTGAGAATAAGTGTGCATACTGTATACCACTACACTGAGAATAAGTGTGCATACTGTATACCACTACACTGAGAATAAGTGTGCATACTGTATAGCACTATACTGAGAATAAGTGTGCACACTGTAAACCACTACACTGAGAATAAGTGTGCATACTGTATACCACTACACTGAGAATAAGTGTGGATACTGTATACCACTACACTGAGAATAAGTGTGCACACTGTATACCACTACACTGAGAATAAGTGTCCACACTGTATACCACTACACTGAGAATAAGAGTGCATACTGTATACCACTACACTGAGAATAAGAGTGCATACTGTATACCACTACACTGAGAATAAGTGTTGATACTGTATACCACTACACTGAGAATAAGTGTAGATACTGTATACCACTACACTGAGAATAAATACACATACTGTATACTGATACACCAAGATCAAGTGTGCATACTGTATAGTACAACACTGAGAATAAGTATGCTTACTGTATTCTCATTGCTAACAGGTCTATACAATCAAGCTGCCACACAGTCTCCACAGACAAACACTGGCAGTAGACTGGGTTGTACTGATGAGCTCAGTGACTTTAAACATGGCTCTGTCATAGGATGCCACCTCAGCCACAAGTCAGCTTGTAAACTGCTGTCCTGCTAGATCTGCTAGAGCTCCAAACTGCCTCTGAAAGCAACATCAGCACAAGAACTGTTTATTGGGAGCTTCATGAAATGGGGCTCCACGTCCAAGCAGAAGAACACAAGCCTAAGGTCTCTGTGTACAATGCTAAGCGTTGGCTGGAGTGGTGTAAAGCACGCCGCCACTGGACCCTGATGGACTATCAGCATGTACAGAGCCAATAGTAAAGTTTGGTGGAGGAGGGATAATTGACTGGGGCTGTTTTTCATGGTTCGGGACCCTTAGTTCCAGTGAAGGGTGATGTTAATGTTAATACTACCGCATACGAAGACTTAGTGTAGAGGAACTCCAGTGGCCTGCACAGAGTCCTGAACTTAACCCCACTGAACACCTTTGGCATGAACTAGAACGGAGATTGTGAGCCAGGCCTTCTCGTCCAACATCAGTGCCTGACCTCACAAAATCTTTACTGACTGAATGGGCACAAATTCTCACAGACACACTCCAAAATCTTGTGGAAAGCTTTCCAGAATAGTGGAAGCTGTTATAGCTGCAAATGGGAACTCCATAATTAAAACCCATGATTTTGGAACGGGATGTCCAACGACTCATTAGGTGTGATGGTCAGGTCTCCATACACATCTGGCCATACAGTGTGTTACCAGGCTGAAAATGTGTAATGCTATAATGAGAATAAGTGTGCATATTACACACTTTATTTTAATGGAAAGTCAGGCAATGCGTCAACTTTGAGTGTCACTCAAACGTGTATTCAGAGTTAGACACCAGGCGGTGAGCTGACGCAGACTTGGGGACTTTAAAGCAGCGCTGGAAAATGACATTCACAGCACGTCCTTTAAAGAGCGAGTACAGACACACAAGAAGCCTTACCGAAGTCTTTGTGTGAGGACATCCAGCCGATGGATTTGAGGGAGACGATGGCGAGCAGGCCGGATCCCACGAAGGAGCCGATGCCAGAGAAGAAGAAGAAAAGTCCCATTATAGCGCTCTGCATGGAGCGAGGGGCCGCCGAGTACGCAAACTCCAAACCTACAAAACAAACAAAACAAATACACAACATTACATGAGAGCTGTAATTCAGATGTTTTTCCACTTGTTTCAATGTCAAAAAATGGCACAATGAATAACAGTAACTCAAGAGTCGAGTCTACTGTTAATAAGCTGAGTCTGTTCTACAGTTTCTCATTAGGCTGAATGAATAACTGACTCTAAATGTAGGTATTGTGATATAAACTGAGTCTGTTCTACAGTTTCTCATTAGGCTGAATGAATAACTGACTCTAAATGTAGGTATTGTGATATAAACTGAGTCTGTTCTACAGTTTCTCATTAGGCTGAATGAATAACTGACTCTAAATGTAGGTATTGTGATATAAACTGAGTCTGTTCTACAGTTTCTCATTAGGCTGAATGAATAACTGACTCTAAATGTAGGTATTGTGATATAAACTGAGTCTGTTCTACAGTTTCTCATTAGGCTGAGTGAATAACTGACTCTAAATGTAGGTATTGTGATATAAACTGAGTCTGTTCTACAGTTTCTCATTAGGCTGAATGAATAACCGACTCTAAATGTAGGTATTGTGATATAAACTGAGTCTGTTCTACAGTTTCTCATTAGGCTGAATGAATAACTGACTCTAAATGTAGGTATTGTGATATAAACTGAGTCTGTTCTACAGTTTCTCATTAGGTTGAATGAATAACCGACTCTAAATGTAGGTATTGCGATATAAACTGAGTCTGTTCTACAGTTTCTCATTAGGCTGAATGAATAACTGACTCTAAATGTAGGTATTGCGATATAAACTGAGTCTGTTCTACAGTTTCTCATTAGGCTGAATGAATAACTGACTCTAAATGTAGGTATTGTGATATAAACTGAGTCTGTTCTACAGAGAGAGGAAGAAGAGGAGGAAGGAGAAGAAGATGAAATCGTGGTGTTTCTCTCTCCAGGCTGTGAGAGCTGCTGGCTGACATTGATAATTTCATGGCGCCTCAAACTCGTGATTTTTTAAATTATGGCCTGTAGGCTCAACTGTCAGCGCCGATTACTGAGCCTGCTTACAGAGAAATGGAGTGAGCATTTTCAGGAGGAGAGAGAGAGAGAGAGAGAGGGATGTGAGTGGAGAAGAGAGGGAGAAAACAGCAGGAGCAAAGAAGAAGAAAAGCAAAAAGACGAGTAAAAAAAACATCCACCTTCGGAATGGACTCCTTTACCTCACAAACCTGCTCTGTAACTAACCCACAACATCAGGAGAGACGGAGAGATGGAGAGATGGAGAATCAGAGAGATGGACAGACGGAGAATCAGAGAGATGGAGAATCAGAGAGATGGAGAGATGGAGAATCAGAGAGATGGAGAGCCGGAGAATCAGAGAGATGGAGAGATGGAGAATCAGAGAGATGGAGAATCAGAGAGATGGAGAGATGGAGAATCAGAGAGATGGAGAATCAGAGAGATGGAGAGATGGAGAATCAGAGAGATGGAGAGATGAAGAATCAGAGAGATGGAGAATCAGAGAGATGGAGAGATGGAGAATCAGAGAGATGGAGAATCAGAGAGATGGAGAGATGGAGAATCAGAGAGATGGAGAGATGAAGAATCAGAGAGATGGAGAATCAGAGAGATGGAGAGATGGAGAATCAGAGAGATGGAGAGATGGAGAATCAGAGATGGAGAGATGGAGAATCAGAGAGACGGAGAATCAGAGAGATGGAGAGACGGAGAGATGGAGAATCAGAGAGATGGAGAGATGGAAAATCAGAGAGATGGAGAATCAGAGATAGAGAGATGGAGAATCGGAGAGATGGAGAATCAGAGAGATGGAGAGACGGAGAATCAGAGAGACGGAGAGATGGAGAATCAGAGAGATGGAGAGACGGAGAGACGGAGAATCAGAGAGATGGAGAATCAGAGATGGAGAGATGGAGAATCAGAGAGACGGAGAATCAGAGAGATGGAGAGACGGAGAATCAGAGAGACGGAGAATCAGAGAGATGGAGAGATGAAGAATCAGAGAGACGGAGAGACGGAGAATCAGAGATGGAGAGATGGAGAATCAGAGAGATGGAGAATCAGAGAGATGGAGAGACGGAGAATCAGAGAGACGGAGAATCAGAGAGATGGAGAGATGGAGAATCAGAGAGATGGAGAGATGGAGAATCAGAGATGGAGAGATGGAGAATCAGAGAGACGGAGAATCAGAGAGATGGAGAGACGGAGAGATGGAGAATCAGAGAGATGGAGAGATGGAAAATCAGAGAGATGGAGAATCAGAGATAGAGAGATGGAGAATCGGAGAGATGGAGAATCAGAGAGATGGAGAGACGGAGAATCAGAGAGACGGAGAGATGGAGAATCAGAGAGATGGAGAGACGGAGAGACGGAGAATCAGAGAGATGGAGAATCAGAGATGGAGAGATGGAGAATCAGAGAGACGGAGAATCAGAGAGATGGAGAGACGGAGAATCAGAGAGACGGAGAATCAGAGAGATGGAGAGATGAAGAATCAGAGAGACGGAGAATCAGAGAGATGGAGAGATGAAGAATCAGAGAGACGGAGAATCAGAGAGATGGAGAGATGGAGAATCAGAGAGATGGAGAGACGGAGAATCAGAGAGATGGAGAGACGGAGAATCAGAGAGATGGAGAGACGGAGAGACGGAGAATCAGAGAGATGGAGAATCAGAGAGATGGAGAGACGGAGAGACGGAGAGATGGAGAATCAGAGAGATGGAGAGATGGAGAATCAGAGAGATGGAGAGACGGAGAATCAGAGAGATGGAGAATCAGAGAGATGGAGAGACGGAGAATCAGAGAGATGGAGAATCAGAGAGATGGAGAGATGGAGAATCAGAGAGATGGAGAATCAGAGAGATGGAGAGACGGAGAATCAGAGAGATGGAGAGACGGAGAATCAGAGAGATGGAGAGATGGAGAGACAGAGAATCAGAGAGATAGAGAGATGAAGAAATGGAGAGACGGAGAGACAGAGAGATGGAAAGACAGAGATGGTGAGGTGGAGAGATGGAGAGATGGTGAAACGGAGAGATAGTGAAACAGAGAGAGGGTGAGATTGACAGACAGATAAACGGAGAGACGGACAGACAGAGATGGTGAGATGGAGAAATGGAGAGACAGAGATGGAGAGATGGAAAAATGGAGAGATGGACAGATGGAGAGATGGAGAGACAGAGAGATGGAGAGATGGAGAGACGCTCAGGCGGTGGTGCTGTAATCTCAGCAGGCTGCAGGGAAAACTTTAACCTTTTGTAAATGCGATGTGTGAAATTTGGTATTTGGTCTAATAAATTAGTCTGTTGTGAATAAACCTAAAGGGAGGGGGTGAACGGGGGGGGCTGTGTGCTACTGCAACAGGCAGAAATCGTGTCTGTCCAAAAAGCCGCCTAAACTACAGTGTAGACTGCAGGACTTCCTCACACCACAGCGTCCGGCTTCAGACAAAACGGCAAAGGCACCGTCCATCTCCGCTCTCTCAGACTGCGGAGAGCACAGCCTCACACAATAAAGCCTGTAGGATGTTTCTATTCCTTTCATACGAGATTAATTACAGTTTGGTTTCCACTATTTCCTCCAGTAATTCTGAGGATAGTTCCCAACTCGAACTCTAAAGCAGCCCAGGTTTAACTGTTTACTGTGGATTTATTCCACACTGTCATCCGAATGAGAGGATTCGGTCACCAGCACAGGCCCAAACACAGTACCACCAACTGTGAACACAACCCGGTGAATCTTTTGGCACACAGAAAGTATCATTTATAAGTCAAAAGATTTCTAGGATTACACAGTGATTATTACTTCAAACAGCATCATAGTAGTAATGTTTACACGCAACCTAATAATCCATTAATAATCCGACTAATAGCTCAGTCAGAATAGAACACGTCCACAAAAACACCTTGTGATCATTGAGAATACAGTTTCTATCCGATTGAACAAGGTGGGTAACCCTGTAAATAATCCATTAAACAGAAGAATAATAGTCATGTAAACACTTGTATCCGATTACATTCCCCCTTCGGAAAGTTTAAGTACGTTCTGCATGTTCAACATGGCGGAGCAGAAACTGGTCTGCAGAGGAGACGAAGTTTATGCTCTGATCTTTAAAAGACGGCGGTGGGACGGACGTCCAGCTTATGTGTCTCAGAATACGACGTCTTCCTCTCGGCCTTCTTTAATAAGGACATGTGAAGGACGTTTTCCTCAGTCTGACATCATTTTAAAGTAATTAAAAACACAAGCGCTGCTCACTGCTGCTCATCTCACTCTGACCGGAGTCAGGTGATGCTTGTTGTCATGGTAACATCTACACTAAGCGGTGCTCTACACATTCGTGTAATTTTGGATCTGACTACTTGTTGTGAGCATGTAAACAGAGATTTTCTATCAGATTGTTGAGTAGAGTAAGAATATAAACACCTCAGTCTTCATCTACAATCAGAATGTGTTCAAACAAATTGCCAAAAATCTCTGCATGTAAACACGGCCAGTGTGACTTTTCCCCCCGATTTATTCAGCCGTCCCTACACTTTCTGCTCAGCTGATCCACACAGCCCAAAACGGCTCCTTGGACACCCCATCATTCTTCTTCAGGGTCATAATTTTCAGAAACGATTCCTGCTCTGGGGGCAGTTATTCTCTGCTGCGCTAAACAGTGCCAGCTGGACACTCAGCTCCAGGCCAGAGGCCATGTGCTGGAGCCTTTTCTCTCAGTCACACGCTGGGCACTTCTCAGAGGCTTCCCTCAGGCTCTTCATCAGCTTACTCACTCACCACACCACACCAGCTCAGACTTCTTAAAGGAGCAGTTCAGCAAGAAATCACATTTACATCATTGTCCCCCTAAACTGAGGTCAATAGGCCCTTTTCACAGGAAACTGAAGTGTTCAAACAAGTTCCACTCCTGCCTTTCAGACAGTTATTAACCTCAGAAACACAGGCGTTTGTATCACTTCAGCCACCACAGAAAGGTGTCTCACTATCTTTGTCATAGTTGCCAAGATTG